CAGCTGCTATGACCGATGAGGTGGCTGTCACTTCTGCACTCCTGTGACTGGCGAAGTGATCATCAGCACGGCAGCTGGGGAAGCTCCCGGTAGAGACAAGGATGACTCTGTTGCTACCACCAAGGTCCCTACGGAGGCTGCAACTGTCACGACTACGATCGGTGCTCCTGTTGAGCTTACTACTACTATAACGTCCCCTTTCCCGGTCAGCACAGCTGCTGTGACCGATGAGGCCGCTGTCACTACTGCAGCTCCTGTCACTGACGAGATGACTATCACCACGGCAGCTGGGGAAGCTCCGGGAAGAGACAAGGATGATTCTGATGCAACCACCTCGGTCGCTACCGAGACTGCGGCTGGCACTACTACGATCGATGCTCCTGCTGATCCTACTACTATCATGACGTCCCCTCAACCGGTCAGTACGCCCGCTGTGACCGACGAGGTGGCTGTCACTACTGCACCTCCTGTGACTGGCGAAGTGACCATCAGCACGGCACCTGGGGAGGCTCCCGGTAGAGACAAGGATGACTCTGATGCTACCACCCAGGTCGCTACGGAGGCTGCGACTGTCACGACTACGATCGGTGCTCCTGTTGAGCCTACTACTACTATAACGTCCCCTCTTCCGGTCAGCACAGCTGCTGTGACCGATGAGATTGTTGATACTACTGCAGCTCCTGTGACTGGCGAAGTCACCATCACCACGGCAGCTGGGGAAGCTCCCGGTAGAGACAAGGATGATTCTGATGCTACCACCCCGATCGCTACTGAGACTGCGACTGTGGCTACCACGATCAGTGCTTCTGTTGAGCCTACTACTATTATGACGTCCCCTCTACCGGTCAGCACAGCTGCTGTGACCGATGAGGTCGCTGTCACTACTGCGGCTCCTGTGACTGGCGAGGTGACTATCACCACGGCAGCTGGGGAAGCTCCGGGAAGAGACAAGGATGACTCTGATGCTACCACCCAGGTCGCTACGGAGGCTGCGACTGTCACGACTACGATCGGTGCTCC